CCAATGCAAATGCCAATGCAAATGCCAATGCAAATGCCAATGCAAATGCCAATGCAAATGCCAATGCAAATGCCAATGCAAATGCCTGCACCAATGTCAATGCCAATGCAAATGCCTGCACCAATGCCAATGTCTGCACCAATGTCGATGCCAATGTCTGCACCAATGTCAATCGGTGGCTTTGGTGGTGGTAGGTTTTTAGTTAAATTGAGAATATTTGTTATTATGATATCTTTTTTTTACTTTTAGGTCTCGCTGGCTACGGCGGTGGTCTTTCATTTGGTGGTGGTCTTCCAATGGGTGGTGGTCTTCCAATGGGTGGTGGTCTTCCAATGGGTGGTGGTTTTCCAATGGGTGGTGGTCTTCCAATGGGCGGTGGTCTTCCAATGGGTGGCGGTTTTCCAATTGGTGGCGGTCTTCCAATGGGTGGTAGTTTAGGATTTGGTGGTGGTCTTCCTGCTGGTGGATTTAGCGGCGGTAAATTCTTTTTCTTACATCGAAATGAAAATATACTTTTACGCTTGATTTTTTAGGTTTTGGAGGTGCTTTACCAATGGGTGGCGGTATTGGTGGTTTGGCTTCGTATGGTGGTGGTTGTGAGTATATTTGTAAATTTCATTCATAAATTGTTTATATGGTTTTTTTTTCTTCATATGTAGCTTTTGCTGGTGGATTTGCTGGTATTCCATCATTTGGTACTGGTCAATCGTTTGGTGGTAGTCCATCGTTTGGTGCCGGATTTGGTGCGGCACCATCATTTGGAGGTGGATTCCCAGCAAATTGTCCAATTACTGGCGCTCCTAGTATGTGTGATTAGCATCTAAATTACTTTTGATTATTATTAATTTTTTGAAATCTATCTCTATTTCTATTTAAAATCTTATTTTAGTTGGTATGATGCGTTCATTACAAGCAATTGGCGCACCAATGATGCAACCTTATCAACAATTACAAGCAGCACCCTTACCACAACCAGCACCTCAAATTATTCCTGTTCCTGTTCCAGTGCCACAACCAGTTCCTGTCCCTGTTCCACAACCATACCCTGTTCCTGTTCCACAACCAGTTCCTGTTCCTGTTCCACAACCATACCCTGTTCCTGTTCCACAACCAGTTCCTGTGCCGGTTCCTGTGCCGGTTCCTGTGCCGGTTCCACAACAAGTTCCTCAACAACAATTAATGGCGGCTCCACAACAGGTTTTTGCTCCACCACCACCACCAATTTGTATTCCATCACCAGCACCAGCTTATTTTCCACCTCCATCAGCACCCGTATTCCCATCGTCTGGCAGTTTTGGTTCTTTCGAACAATTTCAGTCTGCACCAATATCGTTTCCATCTCCACCTCTACAACAAATCGGCGGATTTCAACCAGCTCAGTTTCCCACACCAGGTGCTGGTGGTCGTATGATTTGCTGTTGCTTTCCAGCTCCACAATAAAAGTACTATTTAAATCATCAGTTAGACTTTTGTTTACTTTTTTTTTCTTTTTTTCCCCATTGCTGTGTAGAGACATATTACTTTCTTTTTTTTCTTTTGTGCATCTGGGCTCATAAAACACCGCAAAAAATTTGTCATTTAATAATTGTCCAAATCAAAGCAACAAAATTTCTTTTTTTTTTATATTAAACAAACAAGCAAACAAATAACAATCGACATACACACACACACATACACACACAATTAAATGAACAAGCAAACTTGTTCAATGTCATTAGACGACATTATTTATCTGAACATTAAATTAGAATGCTTATTGATATTTTGTCAAGCATTTTATGCTCATATTTCATCTCAGGTTTAGTGTGTTATTAATGGAATTTTTTCTTTTTTCTAAATTCTTTATATATATATATATTTTTTTTTTTGTGTGTGTTTGTTATATTGTTGCATTTATTAATGTTCTTTTTCTAGACAAGAAAAAATCAAATAAAATATACATTTACAACCAATCAAAGTCAATCTTTCTCTTTCATTCGTATGTATCTATCTACAAACATGTAATGTGGTCACAGAAATGCAATCTAAATGCAATAATTTTCTTATTTAGATGTAAAAAAACCTACTAATTATAATAGTGATGATAGTTTCTTTTCTCTCTCTCTTCTTGTGATAGATTCTAGATAAAATAATGCGAAGCTAGATGATTGTACAATTTTGATGACTGTCATTTTGGTTAGTATGTTTCACTTCGACACATTTTGATGATAGACACGTAGTGGTTGATAAATAGATACCTATTTGTCACTAAACATTTACAAAATACGCTACCATTAAATTTTTACTTATTCATAATTTATATACAATAAATAATAATAATTTAGATAATAATCTAATTTATTATTAGTATTTTGACAGGATATTTTTAGAAAAAAAAATAACAATGGATGTAAATCATTTCGTAGAAATCTTTGTTTGAAATTAGAAATATAATAAAATTTTGTTTTTTGAATCAATATATAGGATGTACAGCAGAAATTGAATTTGACAAAAAAAATTATAAACGATACAGTCTTTGTAAATGAATAATATTTAATAATGTTGTAAAAGATAATGTAAACAAGAATAAATTATGATTGAAATGTGCTAACATTTTCACCAATTTCAATTCAATATTCAAGATTATTTTATCAAATATACATGTTCGTGTTCAAGTGTATTGCCTTTCTGTTAACTCTTCGTTGCCGTTCTCATTTTGAAATTTCGTTACTGTTGTGGGATCCACCTGGACCCACACGTATAGAAAATGACAAAAAATCGATACTATTGTTTTATCCAAGCTATTAATTTATGTACTATAGACTTATAAATATCCTTCTTATAGAGACTGATATGCTAGTTCCATGGTGGCAATATGAGAGTATAATGTCGAAAATATGTTGACTGAAACCGTGTTTGTAACAGCATTAGAAAATAATTCAATAGATAATAGATTCTATCACTTTAGTCTTGAACAGGAGAAACATGCTCATATATTAACATACATGGTTGTCTGGAGATAAAAATGGGACATATTTTCTTTTTATTTATCTTTATTTTCGTCTTCTTTTTTTTTTCATGATTATAAAAACATATAAAATTGAAGTTTCTTTGTCACAATGATGAAGCTGTTCTTATTTCAGTTTGGATGGGGATGTGAAATGTAGTTGAAGAAAAGACTCACACCGACACACCCATACCCACATTCAGTTTCAGCAAGCTCAAAAATATTGTCTATAACACCACTATTGTTCTGTAGTCCAAGTAGACCCACCCCTGAGTTTTCTTCCTCTTAGAGCTATTCACAATTTCTACTAAGGATATTACACAATAACAAGAGACTAGAAATTAGATAAAAGAAATGATCCGAAACAACAAATGCTAGTGTAGTACTAGATGAAAAACTGTATAGTGGGTCCACTCGGACTCCACAACAGTAACGAAGGGTTAATCAAAATTTGTCTTTTTTTTCTACAGGATGTTTCAAAAGTACGTCGTAAAAAAAAGTGAACATCCTTTAGTTAATTTAAGTGATTTATATTATTTTTTTTCAACATTATGATTGTATGTTCCTTAAAGTTTTATTCTATTTATTTTTTTGATAAGTTTCAATGTCCACTGAGATTAAGATACAACATATTTTTATTTATGATCAAATTTGAGCCGTTTATCATTTGAATACGAAAAATACAAGTCGAATATAATATGCAAATGCCAGATGTAGACTGTGTTCAAAATAATTTTCATTTCTTTTATGAAACTAGAGCAGTAAGAAATCGACAAAGTTCATGACATATGTGAACTCACTACTGGATATTAGAGTTGTCGCAAGAGTATGTTTTATTCTGCAAACAACAGCACATCAAATGATGACTGAATATCTTCCGATTAAGTCATATGAGTGTCAAATAACTTGACAAAGACCAAGTAAAAGTTGTCAAAATTTGATATCCAATTTTACAGAATAATGACAATCAGAAGAATCCGTTTTTTTCTTCACTGACCGAAGGCGCCTTTCATATAACTGGTTTGTGTTGATAAAAGTAAAATAAAAACAAGTCTTAAACAAAACATGTATTAAAATCTAACGGAAATAAATTAATTTGAAAGTAAACGTTTTTTTTTTGAAAAGGACGGTTCTAAACATAATACTTATTTTGAATGTTTGTTATGAATTAAAATTATATGAAATAAAACTTCAACGAACATACTATAGTATAAAGAGCTAAATCTGTAAATCACTTGAACTATCTGAAAGATATTCATCTTTGTTTTTTCACGGTGATTTTTTGAAACACACTGTATTAGTGTTAAAAGATGATGAGAACATGTGTATGTTATCAAATGTGTTCCCATCATTAGTCATTGTTGATGAAGCGATCGTAATCATTCTTACACTTATATAAGAAAACCTTCCATTCAAGTATGTAAGAAAAAAGAAGCAGAAATCATTTACACACTCATAACAAGCGTGTAACAAGTTAGTCTGTTGGTTGTTCGACGATATAATTGTCACCTCACTCACTATTCATTACCGTTGTTAGAATAAGAATAGTATGTTTAGTTTGATTCGACTCAAAGAGTGAACATAAAAACTAAATACAAGGTTTTTCATTACAATCGTGGTATTTTAAATATGGGAGGTCATTGCTGATGGCTACAAAGAGACTCGCCAAAAAAAAGCAATTAGATCATATGAATAAAAAAAAAATGAGAACAAGAGAGACAAAGTACAAAAAAATGGAAGGCTGAGAATTTGTCCTTAGACAAAAATGTTGCAGAAGAAAATATATATCATTGTAATGTTCAAGTAATATTTCTCTGCCTCTTTTCCTCTCGTTTAACATTAACAAATCGGCTGCGGTCGATTGAGCAGAAAAAGAGAGAGAGTGTGTGTATGTATGTGTGCATGTAGAGTGCTGCAATCATTTATACTGATATAGCCGCAATCTGCGTCTAACACTCCAACCACTCCCCCTCTAACCAAAACCGAAGACAGATAAACTGTATAAATAATTATCTTTGAAGAAGTTACAGTGTGTCAATTTTATATTGTTGTTGAAATATTTTGACTCATTTCGTCTTCATACATCTGCATATACTTATATATATATATATATACATTACTTATACGAATTCATAAATATTTTTAATGGGTAATCGTACTGGTCGTATGAAAGGATCGGAACTCGCTCAATATGGCGGGGGTTATAATCCTTATTATGGTTATGGGGAGATGGAAAATTACAATTTAAATTGTCCACCAATAGAAGAAGATTACCTATTGGGTATGGGCAATATCAATCAACCATTTGGTATGCCGTTTAATTCTCCTATGGGTGGTCTTGGTTCATATGGCAATTCTTGTGCAGCATATTTCAACTCGATGATTCAACCGAGTTTCGGTAGAGTTAAAATGCGTCAAATTTTTATGCCTAATAATGTACTAAGCGCATTCCAAAATTTACTTCAACAAGGTGGTATAGCAGGATATGGTACACCACAAATGATGCCTCAAATGCCAATCGCTTCACCACCAATGATGCCTCAGATGCCTTTCGTTCCGCCACCTATGATGCCACAAATGCCTTTTGCACCATCAATGATGCCACAAATGCC